CTGCCTTCATATTCTATCATGATTCTGATTACCTTTCTCTATTTCTACATATAAGATATAAGTATCATTTATAAGGGTGCCAGGTAGTGACAAAAATCTTTCCAGTTTTGGTTGTCTTCAAAGGTTTTAATTTCACCTATGTTTATAAATGAGAGCTTCACTGGGTAACCTATTCTGGGTTGACAGTTCTTTCCTTTGAGGACTTGGACTGTGTCTTTTCATTCTCTCCTTGTCTGTAGGATTTCTATTGAGAAATCTACTATAAATCTAATTAGAGTTCCTTTAAAGATAATCTGGCATCTCTCTATTGTACATTATAGGTTCTTTGCATTATCTTTTATTTTTGAAAATTTGATTATAATGTAATTTGATCTTTGATTATAATGTAACTTGATCTATTTTGATCATGCCTACTTGTGGTTCTATGGCATTTCCTCACTGGCAGCTAGCTGTGGGATCACTGGTAGTTTGCTGCTGGCTGTTGCATATGTGTGCACTGTCCTTGCTGCTCCTTGGTGTCCCTATCCTGTTCTTTAGGATCTCCACCAAAATTTTCTCTCCAACTGTCCTCTGGGGATACGATCCTGCCTTTGTTTTTCTGTATTTGGATTTCTATATTGTTCTCTAAATTGGGGACATTTTCTGTCATTATATCACTGATTAAGTTTTAACCCATTCTTTTCCCCATACCTTCAGGATTTCTTAAGAAATATATATTTGGTATTTTGATGGTGTCTCATATATCTTGAATACTTTTCAATTTTTTAAATTTTTTTCTTTTTGTCTTTTTCAAAAGAATTGTCTTCCAGCTCAGATATTCTTTTATTTAAAATTTATGCACTTCTCAATTTGATGCAATCCCAATAGTTGATTTTGGCTTTGACTGCCTGTGCCTCCCGGGTCTTTTTCAGAAACTCTTTGCCTGTGCCAATATCTTGAAGGGTTTCTCCAATGTTCTCTAATAACTTGATGGTGTCACGTCGTAGATTTAGGTCTTTAATCCATGTTGAGTGGATTTTTGTGTAAGGTGTAAGGTAGGGGTCTTGCTTCATGCTTCTGCACGTGGAAATCCAGTTTTCCCAGCACCATTTATTGAATAGACTGTCCTTGCTCCAGGAATTAGTTTTAGATCCTTGATCAAATATAAGTTGGCTGTAGATGTTTGGATTGATTTCTGGTGTTTCAATTCTGTTCCATTGGTCTATCCATCTGTTTCTGTACCAGTACCATGCTGTTTTGATTACAACTGCCCTGTAGTATGTCCTGAAATCTGGTATTGTGATGCCTCCAGCTTTGTTTTTGTTGTACAAGATTGCTTTAGCTATTCGAGGTCTCTTGTGCCTCCATATAAATTTCAGCACCATTTTTTCCAGATCTGAGAAGAAGGTCTTCAGTATCTTGATTGGTATTGCATTGAATCTATAAATTGCTTTTGGGAGAATGGACATTTTGATGATAGTTTCTGTACTGCAAAAGAAACAGTCAGGAGAGTGAAGAGACAACCGACAGAATGGGAAAAAATATTTGCAAACTATGCAACAGATGAAGGGTTAATAACCAGAATCTACAAAGAGATCAAGAAACTCCACAAAAACAAAACAAACAACCCACTTAAGAGATGGGCCAAGGACCTCAATAGACATTTTTCAAAAGAGGAAATCCAAATGGCCAACAGACACATGAGAAAATGTTCAAGATCACTAGCAACGAAATCCAGTCATTTGCAACAAAATGGAGGAATCTGGAACACATCATGCTGAGTGAAATAAGCCAGTCCCAAAGGGACAAATACCATATGTTCTCCCTGATCGGTGACAACTGACTGAACACCAAAAAGGAAATCTGTTGAAGTGAAATGGACACTATGAGAAATGGTGACTTGATCAGCATAGCCCTGACTGTTAATGAACAACTTAATACATTATCCCTCTTAGTAGTTTTTTTTTTGTCTGTTCTACTTAATATGACTGGTTTAATTCTGTAATTAATACACAGTTATTCTTAAGTGTTGAAATTTAACTGAAATGTGATCCCTGTTAAACATAAGAGTGGGAATAAGAGAGGGAAGAGATGTGCAATTCGGGACATGCTCAAGCTGACTTCCCCAAATGGTAGAGTTAGAAACATACCAGGGGACTCCAATTTAATCCCATCAAGGTGGCATGTACCAATGCCATCTCATAGTCCAAGTGATCAATTTCAGTTCACAATTGATCATAATGAAAGGACTAAGAGTCAAAGGAAGCACATAAACAAGTCTAGTACCTGCTAATACTAACCAATAGAATAAATAAAGGGGAGAGTGATCCAACATGGGAAGCGAGATACTCAGCGGACTCATAGAATGGCAGATGTCCTAAACAGCACTCTGGCCTCAGAATCAGCCCTAAAGGCATTTGGATCTGGCTGAAAAGCCCATGAGAGTATTTCAGGCATGGAAAGCCAAGACACTCTGACAAAAAAAAAAAAAAAACCTAAATGAAAGATCTCCGTGAGTGAGATCCCAGTGGAAAGAACAGGTCTTCAAAGAAGGAGGTACCTTTCTCTGAAGGGAGGAGATAACCTCCACTTTGAATATGACCTTGTCTAAACAATAGTCGGTGAACTCAAAAGGCTTCCAAAGCCTTGGAAACTCATGACTGGTGCATAGGGAGATTACTGATGCCATAAACAGGAGTGTCAATTTGTAAAGTCAACAACAGGAGTCACTGTGCACTCGCTCCTCATGTAGGATCTCTGTCCTTAATGTGCTGTACATTGAGACTTAATGCTATAACGAGTACTGAAACAGTATTTTTCACTTTGTGTTTCTATGGGGGTGCAAACTGTTGAAATCTTTACTTAATGTATACTAAACTGATCTTCTGTAAAAAAAAAAGAAGAAATTATCAATTCCCAACTTGACTCTCACTGGGATTAAACATGACAATAGGTATGATCTGATTTCATCATCATTTAAAAAATCATCTATTATTTTTCACTTTACGTTTGTGTGGGAGCAAACTGTTGAAATCTTTACTTAATGTATGCTAAACTGATCTTCTGTATATAAAGAGAAACAAAAATGAATCTTGATGTGAATGGAAGGGGAGAGGGAGTGGGAAAGGGGAGGGATGTGGGTGGGATGAACGTTATGGGGGGGAAACCATTGTAATGCATAAGCCGTACTTTGGAAATTTATATTCATTAAATAAAAGTTAAAAAAAAACATAAAAAATTTATGCACTTATTTGAAATAGTTACAGAGAGAAAGAGGGAGAGACACGCAGAGAGAACTTCTGTCTGCTGGTTCACTCCCCAGATAGCCTCAATGTCCAGGGTTGGGCTAGGTCAAAGCCAGGAGACAGCCTATAGGTCTTTCTGGTCTCCCGTGTGAGTAATAGGGGCCCAAGCACTTTTTCCCCACTCCATTAGCAGGGAGCTGGATCAGAAGTAGAGCAACCAGGAGATGAACTGGCAGCCATATGGGATGCCAGCATCACAGGTGGTGGCTTTACCCTCTGTGCCACCTAGGTCAGCCCCCTAACTTGGATTTCTTTCTTCTACTTCATTGAGTCTGTTGTTTGGACTTTCCACTGTATCTTTATTTGGCATATTGAATGCTTCATTTCTAATATTTTTTCTACAATATCACTGCTTTGCAGAATTTCAAATTCATGTCATATATGGATTTCCTTATTTCATGTAACTTCTTCTTTTGTTTTTCAGTAATTTTACAGTCATTCTTCTAAATTTGTTTTCAGGTATTTTGTGAATCTCCCTGTCTTTATGGTCCAATATTGTTTCATTATTCTGTTCCTTTAGGGGAGTCACATTGCCTTCCTTATCCATGTTTCTTGCATTTCTACATAGATTTTTTATGTATTTGTGGAATCACTTTTTGTTATCTCCTCTGAAGACTTTGTGCTTGGAAATGTGTTTATTTGGCTTAGGATAATAGCTTTAGCTTACAACAGATATCCAGAGGTGTGGGCTGAGTAGGGCCAGGGAAGTCTGGCCAGCACTGTGGGTGGGCGAGAGTCCAGAGTGATGACCAAGTTCAGTGTGGTACATCTCTTCTATTATCAGTGGAGGGAGATAAGCTGCTAGCTGCAGGAGTCACTGGTAGTGTGCTGCTGGCTGCTGCTTGTGTGTTCACTGTCCTTGCTGCTCCACATAGTCTCTGTTCTGTTCTGTGGGGTCGCCACAAAATTTTTTCTCCCACTATCCCTGGGAATATGGTCCTTCCTTTGTTTTACTGGTTATCTTTCTGTGGCTAAAACTGGTCTTCTCCCTATTCAGCCATCATTTCCTGGCCTCCAAATTGTCTGGGTGTCTTTGCCAGCTTTGCAGTGAGGGAAGGTCACAGAAGCAGAGCCTGAGCCACTTAATGCCTGTCTCTCTAGCTGACTCTTATGCAACTAGGGTGGCTCCCAGAATGATCATCATGCTTTATTTTATTTTATTTTTTTAGATTTTATTTATTTCTTTGACAGGTAGAGTTACAGACAGTGAGAGGGAGAGACAGAGAGAAAGGTTTTCCATCCACTGGTTCACTCCCCAAATGACTGTAATGGCCAGAGCTGAGCTGATCCGAAGCCAGGAGCCAGGAGCTTCTTCTGGGTCTCCCACATAGGTGCAGGGGCCCAAGGACTTGTGCCATCTTCTCCTGCTTTCCCAGGCCATAGCAGAGAACTGGATTGGAAGAGGAGCAGCCGGGACTAGAACCGGCACCCATATGGGATGCTGGTGCCGCATGCGGAGGATTAACCTTCTGTGCCACAGTGCCGGCCCACACGCTTGATTCTTAAGCTAATTTCTTATAAGAATTATTTTTAGAAACCACATACATACATATGTGTGGTGGTAGGTTTGCAATTATTTCTATTTCTTCAGATTTGACTAACCAGATGTTTGTACTGCATGATTAAATTTTTTCTTAAGCAAATCTACTGATGTTATATACAACATACAGTTATATTTACATATATATATATGTTATGGTTTGGATAATAATTTGGTTAGCCCTCAAAGGTCCATGTTCTGGGTCTCAGTCCACTAGGTCCTGTGTTAATGAGGGTGTAGAGACTTGAATTAATTATAGCATCTGAGAAGTAAGCCTAATGGGCGGTCTTTGAGTAATTGAATATTTGTTCTTGGGAGGTAGTTCATGTAAGAAGTGTTGGTTATGTAAGCTGAATGTGCTTCCTGTCTCTGCTTCCTGAATCATGAACACCTGATCATAATTCCTCCATTTCATGCCAGACTGCTGGGGTGGTCTGCTGGTCTCTAAACTGTGGACCAAAGTTGCTCCTCTCAGGTATTTTAGTTGAAGTAATAAAAAGCCAACTAAAAAACAACATGTATATATTATTATACATCTAGAGTGTATGCACTCTAAAATACACTGAATTTTATCTGTATTTATAGAATTATATATAACATATACAAATACAATTCCTAAGTAAGAAAATCAACTATATTGACTATATTTAGATATATTCACATCATGATGCCCTCTTACATAATTATCTTACCCATGCCAGAAAGGAATATAGCACTATTTTATACCCAAGAAGTATTGTCTTACATGGAAAAGTGTAATCATGTAAGTACTGATATATCAAATATACTGGCTAGACATTACCAATTTCTCATTCATATCTCTGTTGATTTTCAGAAAAAATTGTGTATTGTATACTTCCACAATTTTCAGCAGTGTTTTTTCTTTTTCAAATATTTTAATTATTTGAGAGGTAGAGTTACAGATAGTGAGAGGGAGAGACAGAGAGAAAGGTCTTCCATCCACTGGTTCACTACCCAAATGGCTGCATCAGCCAGAGCTGAGCTGATCCGAAGCCAGGAGCCAGGAGCTTCTTCTGGGTCTCCCACATGGGTGCAGGGGCCCAAGGACTTATGCCATCTTCTCCTGCTTTCCCAGACCATAGCAGAGAACTATAATTAAAGAAGAGCAGCCAGGACTAGAACGGGCGCCCATATGGGATGGCTGATGCTGCAGGTGGAGGATTAACCTACTGCACTACAGCGCTGGCCTCAGCAGTTTCTGGTAAGACTAGCTTCCCATAGATCCTTTTCAAAGTATCTGTAGCTTTGAGAAATAATTGTAGCTTTATGGATGCTTGCATTCCTGGAACTGTAAAGAAACAGGGAAATAGTTTTTGTGGTGCTTTCTCTCAAATACATGAATATTTTCTAAAGCATTCATTTACTTATTTATTCAGCATAGTCACAGAGGACCTATATTGTTTCAAGCAATTGTGTTAGAGACCGGCAATAATATGAAGAGTTAAAAAATTGAAGTTCCCAATCCTTAGAGGAACAGATGTTATATAATCCATTACAGAGTGACAATATAATAGTTAGGATGTGACTAAAATCCAAGGGGAATACAGAGAAGATGAATGTTTTGTGCTTATTGAAAAATCATAAAAGACTTCAAAATAAAACTAATAGTTACTTTATTTCCTCAGAGACAGCTTTTTCTATTGATGGCAAGCATCAGTAACTATTAAGTTAGTTCTAAATATTAAGCTATGATAGCCTTCATTTTAAATTTCACTCACCGGACAGAGCTTAACTCTCTGGGTATCGTAAAATATCTGTTAGTTTCTTCCATGCCAACAATGCCTAGCCCCCTGGCAGCTCTTCTAATTAATATCTTATTTCTCCGTTTATATTTGATTTCCCTTATTTTTAAAGTCATATAGACAGTATTATAAATACTTTGTTTTCTTCCTCTTATTCAACAACCCTCAAACATTTGCTCACAGTAAGCATTATTGTTTTAGTTTCATATATTTCAGATAAGCTTTATAAGAAATACTTTCTTATGTGTGAACCCCTTAGAGAGGCAGAATTTATAAATCCTTCAAAGGCTGCAGCCACTGCTTTGCAGCACAGTTTGAAAGAGGCACAAAGAGAATTAAATGGTTATAATGTAACAATCAGCATGCAAAGAAACGGAAACCCACTCTTCCTGAGAGAGAGCTGAAGAAGCTCTAGATTTTTAGCACAGAGTAGAAAACACTGAGGGTGAACTCGGGGGTCAGTGGTCACGTACCAAAACCTTATTGGATGTGTTCTTTAAGACTCCTATAACACCCCTAACCCTACTCCCAAAGAAGAAATCAGAGCCATGCAGAAAGGGAATGAAGACACTAATTTTTAAATTTTATATGAAGAACTTATTCTTTTATTTACTAATGTATTTTTATTGAAGGCTACTCTATGCCACATACCATGTGAGATAGATTATAGCATTATAAAGATACAGGAGTATATGACATAGTGTCCTTGTCTTGTAAGTATGAAATAAATACCTAAACATGTGTTAAAGTGCATTTTGCCAGATTAAATTGTTAGTTCACAAGTATGGCAAATTTAGATTATTCACAGTTCTTACTTTTTGTCTTGCTTGTTATATGCTGGAAACAACTGGAATATCCTGGAAAGCAAAACCCAGTTGTGGTTCTTACCTGGTGGGGGAGTCACAGATTATTCAAATAATTACATAAAATCCTAATGGAGGTCAGAGGTGGGAAGGAAAAGCATAGGTTATGAGGACATGTGACATGGTGCACCTGTCTTTAGGATTTTGGTGAATTCAGCAAAGTTATCTCTGAGGAACTTATTTTAGATACAATGACAGTTTTCAGAATGAATAAAATTAAAAGTAGAGGGAGGTGGAGGAAGACTAAGGCGAGTATGACTTCTTACACAGAGATGCTTTGAGGTCTGCGGTTGCACTATGAGGGATATTTTGGATATAATTTAGAGTTAGAAATATTCAAGCTTTATTTAATGGATATGAACCTTTAAATTTTAAAAATTATTTTTTATTTATTTGAAAGGCAGACAGAGAGAGAGAGAGAGAGAGAGAGAGATGTCTTCCATATGCTGGTTCACTCTCCAAATGCCCACAATAGCTGCATCTCAGCTGTGTTGTTCCAGGAGCTCAATCTGGCAAGGACTCGAGTACTTGAGTCATCATCGGCTGCCTCCCCAGGTACTCATCATCAGGAAACTGGTTTACTGTTTATGTGGTTTGAGTGTGAGCTGCGTTGGAGTAAAAGAGTAATTATGTAATGTGATGAAGTGATATTTCGCTTGGTTAAGATGATGTACAAAAGCCTCAGTTGTGGCACTAGGCAACAAAAGACTCAGCTGGGTTATATGAAGACATTTAGGCACAGAAGTAATGAAGCCAAGGCTGAACAGTTAATAACAAGTGAGAGTTTGAAGTTAGCTCACAGACTACAAAATCTAGGATTTAAGAAATAACTCTGTTCAAAGAATAATAATCTATTGTCAAGAAAATTTTGGGCTTCAAAAACTGAGATCTAACTTTTATAAATGAATTTCATGTATATAGCTGAAATGCTTGTGTAGATCAACATAAAAATGTTAACAGTGATGATCTCTGGGCATTTTGATTGTGAACAATTTAAAAATTGTCATCTTTGTGATTTTAATTTTTTATACAGAGAGTACCTTCTGTCTTTTATAAGCTTAATGAAAATATTTGCCAAACTAGAACTCTATGCCAAGGAGACTATCTTTTCAGAATGAGGAGAAAATAAAGACATTTTCTGGGGCTGGCATTGTGACTTAGCTGTGAAGCCTCTGCCTACAGTGCCAGCATCCCACATGGGTGCCGGTTTGAGTCCTGGTGCTAACAGTCCAGCTCCCTGCCAATGTGCTTGGGAAAGCAGCAGAGGATAACCTAAGTCCTTAGGCCCCTGCACCTATGTAGGAGACCTGGCTGAAGATCCTGGCTCCTGGCATTGGCCTGACCCAGATCTGGCTGTTGTGTCCATTTAGGGGAGTGGACCAGTAGATGAAAGATCACTCCGTTTCTCCCCTTCTCTCTCTCTGTAACTCTGCCTTTTAAATAAGTAAATAAATAAATTTTAAAACATTTTCCAAAATGCAAAACCAGAGTTTGTTACAAATAGACTTTGACACGTGAGAATTCTAAAGTGTACGAGTATATATCCAATGGATATTAGATACTTGATAGAATTTATGAACTGGAAGAAATGAACAGCAAACAAAATGTTAAGTTTTTGGGCAAACTGAAAGAAACATAAGCACTGTAAGCAATATAGCAGTATCTGTGAAGTTCTTCCTACTAAGGAGGGAACTTAGTAGAAATTTTATCAAATTATCTACAAAATAATCTACCAAAATGCAAATAAGATTATAAATGGAATTGTAGAAATATTGTCCATGTATTAGAGTGCGCAGTGATGCCAAGTATTCATTTCACTTCACGTGAGCCAGAAAATTATTATAATTCCAATAAAAATTTCAGTAGTTTGGGGAAAGGAGATGGTATTTGGTAATCGGATTTTAAAGCTAACATAAAAGTGCAAAGGAACACTGTTGAATTAGAAAATACATGGTGCTCTACTAGACGTAAAGACTTATTATAAATTTACAGTTTTAATTAAAATACTGTGATACTGGCACAAGGATGGATACACCAGTGGAACACAATAGATTTCATGAGGATGCAGGTAAAGTCAGGGTTGCAGCTTACAGATGTAGCAAAGCAAGGTGGTTGCACAGTGTCATGTGATTTAGATATTTTATCTTAAATTTTAAATATCAATGTAAGATTAAATAAAATTAAGGTTTAAAAATTATATTTGAGATGGAGGGAGGGAAGAAAGGAGGGATGGAGAGAGAGAGTGTCGGGGACCACGCAGCATGTGGCCTCTTAGTGGAAAACTACTGAGGCAGGGCTAGACAGCCCAGGCCGGATAGTACTGATAACACAACCTTGTGTGACCTTGTGCCTTGAGACCTTGTAACCTTTCCCCTACTTGCACAAGCATTGCAGCTACAAGATAAGCTCCCCCTCCTTCTCCCGCCCGACGTCCTGCCCTCCTAAACGCCCCTCCTTCCCCCGCCCGACACCCTGCCTTTATGATATATAAGTGTGTGGTTGAAAAATAAAAATCGCAGCTTGATCAGGACCCTTGTCTTGCTGCCATCTTTGTGTCTCCTGTCACTTCATTTCTCCTTCTAGGTGCTCGGCCCTAGTTGACGTACTGCGGGATGGGACAAGAGAGAGAGCAAGAACACTCACATCCACTGGTTCATGCCACCAACGCCCGCAATGGGCAGGACTGGGCTAGAACCAAAGAGTATTTCCGAACTCAATCCAGATCTCTTGCAAGTGGTGGGGACCTGTTAACTTGGGCTATTGCTGCTGCATCCTAGGATGTACATTAGTAGGAAGCTGGACTCAGAAGCCATAGAAGGGAATTAAGCCCAGGTACTCTGATGAGGAATGCAGATGTCTTAATCACTTAATCTCAAAGCGAAATGCCTGTACCTAAAGAAAATTTTATTTCTTATTTATTATCATTTATCTTATTTATTTGGATATCACAGAGAAACAGAAACAGACAGATGCATAGATAGAAATTTTCTGTCAGCTGGTTCACTCCCCAAATGTCTGAAACAATCAGGGCTGGGCCAGTCTTAAGCTGGAAACTGGGAACTTAATCCACGTCACCCATGAGCATGGCAGGGACCCAACTTGTTCAGCCATCTGCTGGTGTCTCCTGGAATCCAATGTGGAAATGGGAGGCCCAGCTGGTGTTTTAACCATTAGGCCAAACACCAAAATAAAATTTAAACTGTAATTTAGATAACACTACATTGTCATTTGTGAGGTATTGGGTTATTTAGAAATTTCCCTTTGTGCTCTTCAATTTCACACCACTAAATTGCATTATTTTTTTTGGTAGAAGAACAGAAGTTTAGGTTTTTCATTTGAGAGAGATGGATCCTATCCAATGGCTTATTCTCTCAAATCCTGCAGTTGCTGGGACTGGGCCCAGGCTGAAGCCCAGGCCTCTCACAACGGTGGCAGAAACCCAATTATTTGAGCCATCATATAGCAGGAAGGTAGATTCAGAAGCCAGAGTAACATATTGAACCCAGGCACTCTGGTGTGGTATGTGGTGTCTTAACCACTAGGCTAAATGCCTCCTTCCATTTCTTCTTGAGAAATAAAAAGGGTAATGAAAATGTAGTATGACATTTAAAAAGACTGACACAACAATGTCAGAAAAGATATAAAGTGGGATACTCAAAGTGTCCCATTGAAGTAACAAGAGTTGAGGGTCTAGTCTCCAGCTTTTGAACCCAGAAAAGTAGTTTTGTGAGTGTACCCAAAACTGATCTACCAGTGAAGGTCTAATAAGTAGTTGGTGAAGATCTTGTAATTTTTCTTTGTTTACTTATAATTGAAAATTTTCTTGTCCCCTATTTGAATGCTTCCTTCCTTGCCCATAGGAATATGACAGCTGCATGGCTTTTTTTTTTTTAATTTTTTTTGGGCAGGCAGAGTTAGACAGTGAGAGAGAGAGAGAGAGAGAAAGGTCTTTCTTTTTCTGTTGGTTTACCCCTCAAGTGGCTGCTACAGCTGGTGCACTGCGCCGATCCGAAGCCAGGAGCCAGGTGCCCCCCCACCGCCCTGGTCTCCCATGCCGGTACAGGGCCCAAGAACCTGGGCCATCCTCCACTGCACTCCCGGGCCACAGTAGAGAGCTGGACTGGAAGAGGAGCAATTGGGACAGAACCGGCGCCCCAACTGGGACTAGAACCCAGGGTGCCAGCGCCACAGGCAGAGGATTAGCCTAGTGAGCCAGGGCGCCGGCCTGAATGGCTTTTAAAAAATTTTTTTTAAAGACTTATTTATTTGAAAGTCAGAGTTACACACAATGAGAAGGAGAGGGAGAGGGAGAGGGGTAAGGAGAGAGAGAGGAAGAGACAGTGTGAGAGTCTTCCATCCACTGGTTCACTCCCCAGTTGGCCGCAACGGCTGGAGCTGCACCCATCCGAAGCCAGGAGCCAGGAGTTTCTTCCTGGTCTCCCATGCAGGTACAGGGGCCCAAGGACTTGGGCCGTCTTGCATTGCTTTCTCAGGCCATAGCAGAGAGCTGGATTGGAAGAGGAGCAGCCAAGGCTCGAACCGGCATCCACATGGGATGCCGGCACTGCAGGCAGTGGCTTTACCTGCTATGCCACAGCGCCAGCCGCATGAATGGCTTATTGAAAGCACACTTTGGGATATATTCTGCAGGCCATGGCAAAGCCTAATGATCAAGTCCTTCCTAAACAGGTATCTCCTTTTTTTTTTTTTTTTTTAAACAGGCAGAGTGGACAGTGAGAGAGAGAGACAGAGAGAAAGGTCTTCCTTTTGCTGTTGGTTCACCCTCCAATGGCCGCCGCGGCCGGCGCACTGTGGCCGGCCCATCATGCTGATCCGAAGCCAGGAGCCAGGTGCTTCTCTTGGTCTCCCATGCGGGTGCAGGGCCCAAGCACCTGGGCCATCCTCCACTGCACTCCCAGGCCACAGCAGAGAGCTGGCCTGGAAGAGGGGCGACCGGGACAGAATCCAGCGCCCTGACTGGGACTAGAACCCGGTGTGTCGGCGCCGCAAGGCGGAGGATTAGCTTAGTGAGCCGCGGCGCTGGCCCAGATATTTCCTTAATCTTCCAGATTCAGGCCGTCACTGATTTCAAGGACCCTGGATCAACTCTTCCAAACACCTATTTCCTGGATCTCTTATGTAGGGCCTTATGTGGAGTCTTCCCAGTCGATTTTTCTTTTTCTTCTAGGCTTCTATCTCTTGTTAAGTAAATTGTAGCAGTCTCAAATCCTGACAAACATGATGAGATTTGTCGGCTTTGGTCTTCCTGCTTTGTCCTGAGCAGCATCTCTTGTTGTCATGAGGCTCCTGAGATGATTTACCTCATCCACTATGGATTCATTTCAGGAGGTTAATTCTTACAGGGCTGGGTCCTGTTTTCTGTTTAATCTCACCTTGTCTCTACTCACTATATGTGATTTCTAAAAATTCTTACTTAATAAGATAGGATAAAGCCTTTACTTGTTAAAATACCTTTTCCCCAAATGGAATTTGTTACTGAATGAAGAAAATGTATCTGTTATATTTTTGCTCCATGTTCTCATAAAAATCCCTAT